CCAGCGCAGCCCCGCCAGCCACACACCTCTGGGTCGCTGCTGCGGTCGTCGGCCGACGGCACCGCCGGCAGCACCATCCCCTTGTCCTCCCGCTCGGGTTCGGCCGCCGTGCCGGTGGCCGACCTGGTGCGCACCATGCTGCAGCAAGGAGGTGGTGGAAGCAGGGAGGTGGTGGCGCGTCAAGGCGGGAATGGCCTCGTCGGTCGGCAGCGCCACAGGCGGGGCGCAACTGCAGCAATTGCAGCAACTGCGGGCTGCGCCTGATCACCTGCACCGGCCAATTGGTGGTAAAGTTGCGCGGCGGCAGGTGGTCGGTGCGCAAGAGTGGCTGGAGCAGCGCGGCAGCAGGGCCCAGCCGAGCCGATGGAGTCTGCAGGCGAGAGTGCAGCAATGGGACGCGGCAATTTCAATTTTAAGGCAGCTGCGTGTCCCTGCTGCGTGGCCCTCCAGCTAGGGTTGACTGACGCAAACAGACGAGAGGCGGTCGCGAGGGGGCGCATGCCGCTGACAAAGGATCTCACTCACCTGGATCGGGACATGAGGCGGGTTGGGGCTCCCCCCGCCGACACTCATCACCATGACATGCACATGCGGCGGCGGCATGGCGGCGCTTAGTGTCGCAATTGAGGGCCAGCAGACTGGTCAATTACAATGCAACATTCGGTGGTTTAAGCATATGGGAAAATACGCGCATGAGCGTGTGGGCGCTCCCCAACTTCTCAGGGCCAGCAGGGCAGTGCTTAAATGATTGGTGGCACGACAAACGCCGCTAGCCCAGCCCTTCACGCCGCCGACCCCTGCAGCTGCATGCCCGCCGCCGCCGCCGCCGACCCGCCGGCGGTGCCCTGGTCGCCGCCGCGCGCACCCAGCGCGCCGCCGCCGGCGCCGCCGCCCTCTGCGTCGCTGTCCGAAAAGTCGGAGGAGGCGTCAAAGAGGCCCTGCTGGCGCTGGTAGAGGGCAATCAGATCTGGGCTCACATGCTCCTCAGGCTCCCATGTGTCCGGGTAGTCGTCCTGCCACCTGCCGAGCCAGGGAGGGCCGGCAGGGGGGCACAGCGCGGGCGCGAGGGAGGCGGAGACACGAGGTCAGCCTGGCGAGGCAGGCAGGCAGGCAGGCAGCCCATCGCCGCCGGCCTCCTCCACCCCCACCACCCCAGCACCCCGTCAGAGCACCCCGACCACCGCACCCCGCCCCCTTCTCCGCAGCTCCCACTCCCTTCTCCAGGCCTCACCGCACGAGGTACTTGCGCATGGTGCCGCGCTGCCGCATGTCCACCACCGCCTCCGCCTGCGCATACTCCAGCCCCGCCTCGAAGTCGTCGGCCACCTCCTGGCTCACATACTTGGCATCCACCCACACAGGCTGCGGGGGCATTGCAGGGGTGGGAAGCACTTCGCACAGTGATCAGGGGTGGGAGGGAGGGCTGGGGAGGTGAGCGGATGCAGGCAAGGGGGAGGGGAGGGGGACAAGAGGGCGAGGCGGCCGGCAAGTGCAAGGCCAGCGGCAGCCCTTGTCCCCTCACTTCTCCTCACCCCCGCCTCCAAGCCCGCCCAGCCAGCCAGCCGGCAGCCCGCGCCCCCTCACCTCCTCCTCATCCGGGAACTTGATGAGCCACTCGGTGACGGGCGGTCCCGCCGCCGCCGTCGCCGCCGCCTCCTCCCCCTCCTTCTTCTCCCCCTCGTCCGCCGCGGGCGCCTCGGGCACCCGCTCCCGCCGGTCCAGCACAGCTGCTGGCTCCACATCCTCAAACATGTTGGCTGCATGGGGGTGCGATGGGTTCAGCGGGCGCGTGTGACTGGGTGGGTGGGCGTGCGACGGGACACTGCTCGGCCCATCTGGCCAGGGCCACAAGCCAGGCCAGCTGCCCGGCGCAGAAACACGGCCGTGCGCGACGGCCCCGCGACCCGCTCGGCCCGGCGCAGCCCTCAGGGCAGCGCGGCCCGCGTGCGCGCTCCCTGTGCACGGAAACGCGCCGCCGGCGGCGCACCCACCGCAGAGCATCTGGATTACGTTCTCCAGCTGCATGCGCCGCTGCACCAGCATGGGGTTGCCCGCGGGCAGTGCCGCACGCAGGCCCTCCACCAGCTCCAGAGGGCTGCGGGGTGGCGGGTGGGGTGGTGGGTGGGTGGCAGGGGGCACGGGGCGAGGGATAATGTGGCGTGGGGCCAGCAGGAGGCTGCTTTGCAGGCGGGGCTGCCGGCGGGCAAAGCGTAACGGTGCAGGCGCGGGCGGCTTCTGGTGGCGAGACGCGGCCGCCCGAGTGCAAGGCTGCGCGGGGCCCCGGCTGCCACCCAGCAGCCTCGCCCCCGCCGCTTCCTGGCTTCACAAGCACCTCAGCTCAGCAGCAACTCAGCGGCAGGCGCGCCCTCCCTCCCGCCCCAGTACCAGCTGCCAGCACACGCGCACCTGCGGCCCTGGCGATCCTCCTGCTCCGGGTCGGCGCCGCCGGCCAGCAGCGCGCCGATGGTGGTGGTGTGCATGTAGCCCGCCGCCATGTGGAGCGGGGTGTAGCCTGCAGGAGTGGGATGCCAAGGGGACAGCAGGAGCCGCAGGTACTAAGAGAGGGCGTGCCTTGCACGGCAGGAACGCGCTGGCAGCAGCAGCGGCAGCGATGCACGCCGCAGCAGCGGAAACGCTGGCCCGAATGCACGCCAGCGGCAGAGCAGACACGCGGCGATGCCTGCAGCGCCACCGCCAGCGGTACATGCAGCGGTACATGCAGCAGTACATGCGGCGGTACATGCAGCGCCACCCACCCTCCTTGTCGGCGAGGTCCACCTCGGCCCCCGCCCTCAGCAGCCGCTCCACCAGCGGCGCCTTGCCCATGGCCGCCGCAAAGTGCAGCGCGGTGCGCCGGTCCTCGTTGACTGCGCGAGGGGGGAAGACGGAAGGGCGGCACACATGGGAGGACGGCGCGGAGGGCCAAGCAGTCGCACAGGCAGGCACAGAGGCGTGTGGGCGCCAGCCAGACGCGCCATCCGCCGGCCAGCAGGCGGGAGGGACCCCCCGGGCGCTGTGCCCTCTGCCAGCGGTACCAGCTGCCGTACCAGCTGCCGTACCAGCTGCTGCCGTACCAGATGCCTCACCTGTGCGTGCCAGCACATCGCCCCCAACCTCCATCATCTGAAACATGGTGTCCTCGTCGCCCTGCAGGCGCCCAGGCAGGCAGGCAGGCAGGCGGCACAGGAAGCTTACATCGGCAGGGGGGCAAGCAGGCCGGGGTGGGCTGTGGGGGCCGCGGCACGCACGGCGTGGGTCGGCAGGGGGGCAGGCTGTGCGGCTGCGGGCCTCTTGTGTGGGCAGCACGCAGGCGGGCGTGACGCCGCTGTATTGTGTATTCTGGGCGCCGCGCCTGGAGGGCGCACCTTCTTCACCGCGCCCCACCAGCGCTGCTGGTAGTCGCGCAGCAGGTTGTCGGCCAGGTTGGTGGCTACCTCCCTGCATGGGGCAGAGGGGTGGCATGGGGGAGAGCAGCAGAGCAGGGCGGAGCAGGCAGCTCAGCAGGAGCAGGCAGCTCAGCAGGAGCGGGCCAGGCGGAGTGGGCGAGGTGCGAGGTGCGACGAGCCGGGGACCCCGACGGCTGGCTGCTCGTCTGCCTGGCCTGGCTGGACGGGGGCGTGGACACGGCTCCCTGCCTCCCTCCCGTCCTGCCTCCCTGCCCTCCTCACTCCGCCCTGCTGCTGCCCGCTGTGTTCATATCGCTGATGCCTCACCAAGTGTCGGGGGAGCCGTCTTTCCACTTGACCAGGTACTCCACCCGCGGGGTGTCGTCCTCGTTCTTCAGCACCCGGATTCCCTTCAGATCATCCACCTCTGCAATCTCGCCGCCGCTGGCTTGAACCAGCACTGCGCGGCGGCTGCGTGGCGCGGCGGCACGGCGGGCCCCTTCGCTGTGCCGCCGCCGCTGCTGCAGTCGCGCGGCGGGCTGGCGCGCCGCTTGTGAGGGGGCGTAGGATGTGGAGGCGCCCGCGCAGGTGCGGTTGGGTGCGCTGCAGGGCACAGCCAGGTGCCGGGCGACTAAAGGCATGGAGGCGCAGGCTGCTGCTGCCATGGCCGCGCTGCTGGATGGATTTGAGGTGCTGCTGGATGCACGCCGAGCTGCCGGGGAGAGCAGCAAGGTGCGAGCGTGGTCTGGGCCTGCTCGTTCAGGCCCCTGTGGGCAATGAAATGGACTGAGGATGCTCAGGGAAACTGTATATTGTGGCAAAGGCTTCGCATGCAACGCTGTTTCGGCTGAGATAGTGGATTAGGCGCTGAGCTGGACGTTCGGCCCTGGCCTTCGCTGACCTCCACCCTGCGTGCTGTCGCTGCCATCGTACTCTAGGCACCTCCACCGTCTCTTAACGCCCCTCCCCCAGCATGGCGACCTCCCTGGCCGCGGTTGCCTGCCGCCCCGCCCGTGCCGCAGCCCTGCGGCCGCAGCCGGCGGGCCAGCGTGCTACCACCCAGCGCCCGAGCCAGCAGCCGGCGCGGCCTGGGCTTGCAGCGCGCAGGGGCGTGGCGGCGACCGCCGCCGTTGCGGGCAGCAGCGATGCCGATGCCGGCTCCTCCTTTCTGCAGCAGTTCAAGAACCTGGCCTCTCTGGCGGACGCGCAGCCCGCCTCCACCTCCGGCAGCGGCTGCTGCGGCGGCAGTGGCAGCGCCGAGGGCGGCGCGCAAGAGGTGCGGAGCTGGCGGCGGCCTGGGGCACAGTTGTGTCCGCTCCCTCCCAGATCACGCCGTCTCTCCCCGGGCAACGCATTCCGCACAGCCCTGATGCTCCCATGTCAACGTCAACCGACCCATGCTCGCATCAAACAGCTGCTGCACATCCCTGGCCTGCTCCCTCGCAGTCTGGCAGCGGCTGCTGCGGCGGCGGTAGCGGCGGCGGCGCCTCCGCCTCCGGCCAGGCGGCGGCGTCAGCCGTGATGAGCCAGCTCAGCAGCATGATGGGCGGCATGGAGGGCAGCCTGACCCGCGACGATATGCGCAGCGCGTTTGAGGCCTCCCATCCGGTGAGGCGCATGCATGCGTGGGCGCGGGGGCCAGGCGCAGCTCGCCGCCAGGCGCTCGCCCTGCTGTGGCGCCGACTCTACATCCAGCGGCACCGTCTGGGGCTAGTGGCCGTGCCGCTCGGGTACTTGCTGCCTGTGCCTGCCCACCCCACCCGCTTGCTGGCTCCCCACCCAACCCAACCCAACCCCAGGCCTCCGCGCCGGAGGGCGCCGACGGCGGCGAGCGCTTCCTGGACCTGTCTGCGGTGCTGGGCGGCAGCCACCGCGCAGACTTTGCCGACGACCACGACGACGAGCTGGATGCGCTGGTGGTGTGATGAGCTGGCCGCTGAGCTGGCCGCTGCGCTGGCCTTGTGCCCAGGCGGAGGCCTTTCAACGCCTGGCACATCGCTATGCGGATGCCACCCGATGCATGCCAAAGTTTCGGAGAGCCCCCCAGATCCTGGCTGTGTGTACCCTTTCGCGGCGGCGCGGCGCCCCCGATCCAACTCTCTGCTGCTGTAGTGCCCCACCACCTGCCTGCTACTACACCCCATGCCCCATCTCAACGTATGAGCCATTTGAAACTGATGTATGCCAGTGCCTTGAGCAGCCCTGAGCCCCCTTTAGCGTCGCGCCCTGCCCATGCTTGCTGCCCCAATCACCCGTCCAACAAGCCCTCAGCCTAGCCCTCCCACAAGCCGCTGCTGCGATTCGTTTTTGCTTACACTCAAGCCCGAGCGGTCTGATATGATACACAGCCTAGTTTTGGACCAAGAGATGCAGTTCTTATCGAGCATTCATACTTGTAACTTTACCTCGCCTTAGGCCCAGCAGCCGACCGGGCCACCGCGGCTACCCCGCCTGCCGCCGCGCCGCCCGGTTTGGCAGCGCCACCTCCAGCCGCGCCCCGCTCTCCGCCGCCTCCTCGAATATCTCCGCAATCACCCGCCCGTACCTGTCTCCCGGGGCAAAGATGCCCGCCGCATCCACCCGCACCACCAGCGGCTGCGCATCCAGCACGCGAGAGATGCCGCCTCTCACCAGCGTGTCCCGCCAGGCGTCCAGGTTGCACCCAAACCAGGCGGGCAGCGCGCAGGCGGCGACCATGGCGGCCCAGAAGTCGTCGGCGGACAGGGCCCGGCCCCTCAGGTCCACCACCAGCTGGCCGCCCGCCAGCACGCCCTGCGGTACAGGCACAGGCACGGCGACAGGCGGGGGCGGCGGCGGCCCAGGAACGCGTGGTTGCACTGAGCGACTGATGTAGTGGGAGGGGGAGGGTGGAGGGGCGCGGAGGGAGGACTTGCAGGGCAGCGCAGCTTGCACAACGCACTGCTCCTGGCTGGCTGCCAGCTGGGGGTAGGCAATGGAGTGGGCCGACGCACAGGAGGCGCCACTCCCGCGGCTGCTGGCGGCGCACCAGTCCCTGCCTTTTTTCCTGCCTTCTTGGTCATGCGCCTGCGAAAGGCATTGGTATCAGCGTGTGTGGTAGCACACAAGATGGGCACCACCCAACGGAAGGCGGCAGTGGCGGTGGCGGTGGCGAGCAGGCCCGCCAAGAGGTCAGGGCTCTTCCTGCACTACTAATGAGCTGCGAATGCAATCATCTGTAGCAGATGCACCTGAGGGGCGCTTCCGCAGCGCCCTGACGACTTTCGCAACGAGGGAGCCCCCTGTGCTGAACTGCGCGAGCCACGGATGTATCAGGGCAAGCAGCCCCAAAAAGTGCTGGGAGCCGAGGGGCGCACTGCAAGCACTGGGGGCTCCGACGGCTGCTCCCCATGCATGGGTACTGCCGCCGCTGCCCGCTGCCGACAGGGATGCCCCTCACCGGCTGCTGCCGCAGCCCATGTCCGGAGCACAACAGCAGGATGTTGCCAAAGACCACGAGGCCGTGGGGCTGTGCAGGCGCGGCCTGACCTGCCCGCCTGGTGCCAACCCTGCGGCCTGCCATGCCGCCCGGCTGCAGGACCAAGGAGGGCACGGATGCGCTGGCAGCCATGGGTCTGATGATGTCCGCAGCGGTGGATGGGGAGGGCCCGCTGCACGCGCTTACGGCGGCAGCCGTTGCAGGCCGGCAGGGAGTGGTGGAGCGGCTTGCAGAAATGGCAGGGCGCCGGACGGCAGGACTGCTGAGCTCGCCGAGGAGGCAGTGCGTTGTGCGGAACGGGCGCATTAACGGCCCAATAGCGGCAGGGCAGCTCGCTGCGGCGGCGGTAGCGCTTATGTGGTGCGGCGCGTCCTCTCTCTGCTCCAGTGCTGATCCATACAAGGCCCTGTGTGCTGAACCGTAGCTCCTGCCTCACAGCGTTGGTGGCTTGCACAGGGGTGTGGTTGCTATGTGCACGCATCAATGCCAGGACGGTTGAAGCGGGCAGCAGACAAAGCATGGCAGATTGATTAAAAAAGGAGTGGCATGGGAAGGGTAACGCAAGGACACAGGAGAAATTAGAACACACAGCTGAAGTCTAACCGCACAGGAGGAAGAAAGGACGGGAGCTCGTGAAACGTTGTTTTCGGGAGAAGGAAGATTGCTCGAGGAGAGTGCTGTCTTGCCGCGGGGCTGCCCGCGCCAACTGTGTGGCGCTCCGCCCTGTCCCCCATCATGCTGCAGTTCATTCGGTTGAGTTCAGAGGCGCATGCGCTGGCCGGCGGCGCGTGGGCTCAGGCGGGGGCGCCCGTGGCGGCGGCGCCGCCGCCCGCCTGGTCGGCAAGCATCTGCACCGCGACTGCCAGGTCCGCGGGGGCGCCGTCCTCACTGTTGCTGCTGGCCTCAGCGGTGGCGGCTGCGGAGTCGTCGGGGTAAGCAGAGTAGTCGTCGTCCAGGGCGCGGCGCTGCTGGTACCGGCGCGGGCCCTGCTGGTACTGCCCCCGCCCGGGCTTGCCGCCCTGCGGGTGGTGGTAGTAGCCGCGGCCGCGGCCCGGCGCGGGGCCGCCCTGCTTGAGGGGCTCGTACCGCTGCTGGTACTGCTGGCGCTGGCCCTGAGGGCCGCCCTGGTTGTGCTGCTGCTGACCCTGGTAGTCCTGGCGGTACTGCTTGAAGTGCTTCTTGTACGGCTTCTTGCCCACCCACTGCTGCTGGCCGTGCTGCTGGTAGTGCTGCTGGTGCTGAGGTGGCTGGTACTGCTCATGCTCGCCCTCGCCCTCGCCCTCCTGCCCCTGCCCCTCCTCCTGCCACTCCCCATTCGCCTCCTGCTCTGCAGTCCCATCCTCATATTGCTGTTCAGGCGCCTGCTGCTGCTGGGCAGCGGGATGCGGCGGCGGGGGCGGCGGCGGCGGCGGCTGCCACCCACCCGCCGCCACGCCCAGCTGCTGCCACGGCGCCTGAGGCGCCTGCGGCGAGGCGTGGGGAGATGGCGAGGGCAGATGCTGCTGCTGCTGCTGCTGCTGCTGCTGCTGCTGCGGGGGCGCCAGGCCCTGCTGGGGGAAGGCCTGCTGGTGCTGGTGCTGGTGCTGGTGCTGGTAGGCGGGCTGCTGGGGAGGGGCCTGTAGGCCGATCTGCTGCGGCAGGAAGGCGCCCGGTGCCGGCACCGGCGCCTGCTGGCCGGGGCCGGGGGCGGCGCCCGGGCCCGCCTGCTGCTGCTGCGGCTGGGTGACGGGCCCAAAGTGCGCCACCGGCTGCAGGCCGGGCTGCGTGGCATACTGCCACTGCATGCCGCCCTGCGGCGGCGGCCCGCCGTTCATCATCGGCCCCGGGCTGGGCGGCTGCTGCTCCAGGCCCTGCTGCTGCGGGTGCTGCTGCTGGGGGTGGGGCTGCAGGTGCACCACCTCCTGACCTGCCATGGGCGGCGGCAGGAACTGGCCAGGCTGGCCGGGGCCCACCGGCGCCAGAACGTACGGGTACGGCCCCGCCTGCGGCAGCACGTAGGGATGCCGCTGCAGCACCATCATGGGCGGCGGCCCCTGCTGCTGCGGGTGCTGCGGGTGCGCGCCCGGGTGCGCGCCCGCGGCCTGGCGCTGCGCCGACAGCAGCGTCTGCTCAAAGCGCTCGCGCTCCGACTGCGCCGCCTCCACCCGCCCCGCCAGCGCCTGGTTGTGCCCATCTGCCTCCATCATCTGGGCGTGGATGCGCTGCTCCAGGGCCTGCGCCGCCGCGGTCCTGGCGTCGGCGTCGGCCTCCGCCTCCGCCAGTGCCGCCTCCTTGGCGCTCAGCTGCTCCGCCACCTCGGCCACCTCGCGCTCCCGCCCCGCCAGCAGCGTGGACTGGCGGTGCAGCCGCGCGGTTTCCTTGTCGGCCGCCGACCTGATGCGAGCCACCTCACGCTCCCTGCACCGGGCGCGCGGGCGAGGGGAGGCAAGGGGGTGGTCGGCAGGAAGGTTGGGAGCGGTCGGGATGGGTAGCAAGAGGCAGCAGGTGCGGGTTGCGGCAGCAGGGATGTGTTGCATACTCGTGCCCACTGCCCCGACCAGGGCGCAGGGCAGGGGCGCCAGGTTGCCCACTGCCTGCCTGGTCAGCCCAGCCGGCAAACGTGGCTGACCAGGCAGCAGGGGGACAGCTCCGCACGGGCGGCAAACGCAACGGCAAGCCAGGTGCGGCCGGGGCTGCCATCGGCAGTGCGGGCGAGCTGCCCAGGCGCAAGCAAGCATGCGCTGCATGGCGCGCATGGTGGAAGGCAGAGAGACCGACAGAAGGCAGAGGGACGGGCGGAAGGCAGAGGGGCAGGGGTGGGCAGCAGCAGGCGGCGGCGCCGCCACTCACCGCTGCTCCACGGCCGCCTCGCGCTCCTGCAGCGCCTGCTTGGCGGCGGCCACCTCCTCCTCCCTGGCAGCCAGCTCCTGCAGCCTGAAGACAACGGCGGAAGAGGAAGGGACGTGGGGCGGGGTAGGCGCGGGCGAGGCAAGCTTCAATGGGCTGATCAGCGGGCCCCGGGCTCACCTGTCCCTCAGCAGCGACTGCAGGGTCGCAAACGCCTGCTCCACATCCTCCATCTCGCCTCTGCCGGTCAGGCTCCTGCACTTGTAGGGGCGCTTCGCCCTCTTCAAACTCTTTGGGGTATTCCAACGACGTGTGACGCTGCGCGGGTTAGCAGGGAATTGCGTCCGGGGCTTGCAGGTCGCCCTCTCAGGCTGCCTGCGCACAAGGAGGCGCAGCAGGCTCCGCATGATGCCCCGCTTGCTCTCTGTGGCCTTCGATCGCCGCCCTGACACATTTGCATGGGCTTGGAGGCTTTGCAGCCATCTTTACGCGCCTGACCGACGCGCCAGGAGCGCCGACCGCGAGCCAGATCACCCAGTCGCTCCGACCAGGCCTTCTCCTGCGCTGCAACTGGCTCGGAACGGCCAGTGCAGTCACAGGTGTCACCAGCAGTCGGCCCTAGGTCGCCCACGCCTCTCCGCCGCCTTGCCGTCGCACCCGCCGCCTAACCCACCCACTGCCGCTGCCGCCTCCTAGCCCACCTCTCTGCGCCACCCTGGATCCTCGCAGGGCCGCGCCATGGCCGACGTCTGGGACGAGTCGGTGTGGGGAGACGACTTTGAGGAGCCCGAGGTGAGCTCTGTGCCGCGCGGCCCGCTCGAGCTCTCCTTGTGCGTGCCGCCGACCGGCACGCCCGATCGCGCCGCGGGCTGCCGTGCCGCCGCGCTTTCCACCCCGCAGGAGTATGAGCCCAGCAAGGAGCGGATCGTGTTCCTGATCGACGCCTCCCCCGCCATGCTGGAGCCATGCGAGGTGGATGAGGAGGGGAAGGAGGAGGAGGAGAAGGTGGGTGCCGGGGGCGTAGGCGGCGCCCGTGGCATGGGCCTCTGTGCCAGCTGCGCAGCGCAGGCGGCCTGCGCCTAGTGCCGAAACACGCGTGTGGAATCCTGTACCCAACCTGAACGCCGCCCGCAGGACTTTGCGGGGCTGAGCTGGCTGGAAGCTGCGGCGAAGGTGGCCCTCCACATCATGAAGCAGAAGATCATCTCGGCGGCGGGCGACGAGATGGCGGTACTGCTGTACAATGCGGTGCGCGCCGCTGGCTGAGCGGGTGGTCTGGGGCTGCCTGTGTTTGTGCTGTGTGTGGGGGGCTGCGGGCAGGGCTTGCTGGGAGGCGCGTGGGGTGCGCAGGTGGGCAGCTTGTTGTGGTGTGGGTGGGGTGCTGGGGGCGGCGGTGTTGGGGCTTCCTGCCAGGGGCAGCTGGCTGGATGCTGGGTTGGTGGTTTTTGTTGGGTGCAGCCTCGCCTGCCTGCTGCGCCCCGCCACCCGCCCTACCCGCCTGCCTGCAGGCCGCCGCCAAGAGTGCCGAGGTGGCCAGCGACTTCGAGGGCTGCTACCTGCTGCAGGTGTGTGTGGTGTGGGTGGGTGAGTGGAGGGAGGGTGCCGCGGGGTGTAGGAGGCCCCCCTGGCTTTGGCGGAAGGATCGATGCACAGTGGGCAGGGTGCAGCGTGCGGTGGGCCACAGCAGGAATTGGAGGGCAGCCAGCAAGAAGGAGCCAGCAGGCGCGCTTACCCAACCTGGTGTTGCATCTGGCCGCTCCCCACCTGCCTGCTGTGCCGCATGCCCACTGCCGCAGCCGCTGGAGCAGCCAGGCGCCGAGTCAGTGAGGCAGCTGGAAGACTTTTCCCGTGAGCCTTGCTGCTGGCTGTGTGCCCTGGCCGCCATTAGCCCCCCGCCTGCCACCCCCCCGCCTGCTGCCTTGCACACCATCGGCAGCAGTGCCTGCCTGCCTCCCCGGCCACCTCTTCCTCTCTGTCAGCCCTGTCCTCCTGCGCTCGCCTGCCCCGCCCCTGCTCCCCACCTGCAGTGAGCTTCTTTGAGAAAAATGTGGGCAGCAAGGAGGACGCGCAGTGCCTGATCAGTGCGTTCTGGATGGCACGCCACATGTGCAGCAGCATGAAGGTGCGCGTGTGCATGTGTGTGTCCGTGTGCGCGTGCTTGTGTGTGTGCGCGCGTGCGTCACCGCCACTGCATGGCATGTGCGCGTGCCTGCCTCTCGTGCAACCATCTGCGCCAGGGCGTTGCCTCGACAGGCCTGGCCGTCGCCTCCCCCTGCCGCCCTCGCAGGGCCCCAAGGCCACGCACCGCCTGCTGGTGTTCACGCGCACCGAGCTGCCCTTCCAGCGGTATGACAAGGGCCACGACCCCTCCCACCGCTGGTGTGTGCGGGACCGCCTGCCGGGACCGCCTGCCCCTGCCTGCCCCTGCCTGCCCCGTCCCGCCCCGGTACCCCGCACCCCGCCCACCATACCTGGCACGCCGCTTGACCCCCTTACCCGTGCCCTGGCCACTTGCACGTGCCGCTTGTCCCTCCCGGGCGCCCCACCCCTCCTCCGTCCCACCGGTACCGCAGGCGGCAGCTGGAGGGGCACCTGCGCACGCTGCGGGATGCCGGTACCCTGGTGGAGCTGTACCCCATGGCTCCCCCCGCCGCCGCCTTCGACTTGCAGCCCTTCTGGCGCAGCGTGCGCCCGCCGCGTAGCGCCAGGGGCTGCCGTGCAAGCCTGCTTGCCCGGGGAGGGCGGAAGGGGCCGCTGGCTGGACGGCCGCTGCGACGGGAGCCATGCCAGGGCTCTGGGGTGCCAAAGCAGCGCCCTGCCAAGGGGTAGCCTGTTCCGTTGGTTGGGCGTGTTGGGGGCGCCCCTGCCCCCTGCCCATCTGCGCTGTTTGTTGTTGACTGTCCACCCCGCCCCTCCCTGCCCTGCCCGCAATCAGGTGCTGCTGTTCCTGCGGGGTCAGGCCACGGCGGGCGGCGGCGAGGGGGAGGAGGTGGCGGAGGAGGCGCAGCAGGTCTTCCGCCTCAGGGTGAGCCGCCGGCAGGGTCGGGGCAGCTGCGGTGGTGCCGCCCCACTGGTGGCATTGTGGGAGGCCTGGCGGGCGCTGCGGGCAGGGCGGCGTGGGCGGGGGAAGGGTGGGGGAAGGGCGACCCGTCATGCTGCACGTGGCGAGCTGCCTTTTGCACGGGACACACACACACACACACGCACACACACACACACCTGCGCAGGACCTGTTCACCGTGGTGCGCAGCAAGGCGCACAAGCGGCGCGCGGTGGGCTCCATCCTCTGGCGCCTGGGCAAAGGGCTGGAGCTGGCGGTGAAGCTGTACCAGATGGTGCAGCGCCAGCGCATTCCGCCGGTACGCTTGCGGCGGGGCGCCCTGCTGGCTCTGGGCCTGCCGATATGGGTTTCAGAAAAAAACCGGTTTAGTAGACCTACCTAACCATTCGGTGCCTGCGTTCTGCGCGCTCTGCGCGGTTTGCCCCTGCCCGTCGCCACCTGCCTGTTTGCCCACGTGGACTGACCGCCTGCCCTCCCAACTCTCCTGCCCTCCCCACCTGTGCCCCTTCGCCTGCCTGCCCTCCCCGCCTGCGCCTCTGCCTGCTCTCCCGCAGGCTTTGAAGATCTCGGGGCGCACCGGGCACGAGGTGAAGGCAGCCACCGCGCAGATCGACAAGTACACGGGTGGGTGGCTGGGTGGGGTGGCCTGCTGGGTGTGTGTGACGGCGGTGGTGGTGGTGGTGGTGTGCGTGTGGGCTGTGGTGGTGGTGGTGGTGTGCGTGTGGGCTGTGGTGGTGGGGGGGTGGGGCTGCTGAATGGCTGGCTGGGGTGGCTTGCTGTGGGGGCCCGGCGGGCCTGCTTGCTGGCATGCTGGCTGGTTGACGGGCGGGAGGGCCGACCCTGCCCTGCACCCTTGCCTCATTCCAAGCTGCGGTGACGCCGCAGGCGAGGCGCTGGAGAAGGATCAGATACTTCATTACTACTTTAAGAAGGGAAACAGATACCCAAAGGTGGGGGCGGGCGGCTGGCGGGCGGGCCGTGCTGCAGTCTCGGGGGGCGGCGAGGTGCCAGGCTGGGGCGGGAATCAGCAGGGTGCCACATCGCGCCTGCCGCTCCCGTCCCTGCCTCTCCCACTGCCCGGCGCCGCAACCACCTCGCGCTGCCTTGCCCTGCCTCGACCTGTCCTGCGCTGCCACCACCACCCCCGCCTGCCCAGGTCTACATCACTCCCGAGGAGACTCGGCAGATCAAGGGGGTGGGGCAGCGGGGCATGACGCTGCTGGGGTTCAAGCCCATCAGGCGAGGCTCGGGTGGCTGTGTTGTGCGGTGGTGGTGCTGCGTCCCTGTCGTGTGGCAGGCTCTGGCGGTGGGCAGGGCCGGGAGGTTGCTGACGCCACGCCTTCCCTCGCCCTGCAGCTGCCTGAAGGAGCACCACCAGACCCGAAACAGTACCTTTATATACCCAGGTGGGTGGCATGGGGCGTGGTGTGTGCGTGGTGTGAGATCGGTGGCCTCGCTGGCATGGCTGGTACTGCTGCCATGGCCCCCACACCTCCCTGCTGTGCCTCTCCATGCGCCCACCCGGCTGGCCTGCCCGGCCGTCTCCCCACGCCCCCTGCCACCGCCGCCGCCCGTCGCCGCCCGCAGACGAGAAGGAGGTGGCGGGCAGCGCCACGTGCTTCATCGCTCTGTGGGACGTCATGCGCGAGGTACAGCCCGGGGGTGTGGTGGCGTGCATGTATGATTGTATGTACGTTTGAATGTATGTATGTATGAATGGATGTTTGGTGGTGGTGGTGGTGGTGGTGGTGGTGGTGGTGGCGGTGGCGGTGGTGGTGCCTGCCTGCATGCCTGCTCACCTCCCCGCCCCACGTCCCACCTCCGACTGCCCTGCCCGCCGCCTCCCCTCCCCCGTCTGCCCTCTAAGCAGACCGGCACCATGGCGGTGTGCCGGGTGGCGCCCACCAAGGCGCGCACGCCCACGCTGGTGGCGCTGCTGCCGCAGGAAGAGACACAGTACGACGACGGCAGCCAGGTGTGTGCGGAGGGCGCGTGCCTGGGCGGCGGGTTGGGTACAAGGTGGGGCAGGACGCGTGCTTGGGTGGCAGGGTGGGGGCCAGGTGGGGGAGTTTGCATGCCTGGGTGGCGGGGTGGGATCCATCATCTGCGCCAATGTGTGTGCGCTTGTGTGCCTGCTGCTGCTCGGTGCATGCATGTGGCAGGGCAGCGGGGCGGGGTCACGTGTGCGGCGACGGCCTCGCCGCGGCGGCTTCCACTCTTGATGATGCCCCCTGCGCATGAGCCGGGTCCTGCTGTTTCAGCCGGGATGGGAGGGCCGCCGCTGCGGGCCCCCCGCGTGCAGCCGCCCACCCCGCCTGCCTCGCCGTGCGCGCCGCCGACCCCGCAGGCCACCCCCCCGGGCATGCACCTCATCTACCTCCCCTTCATGGACGACATCCGCCACCCAGAGACCTCTGCAGACTTCGTGGGGGCTGTGGTGAGCGGGGGTGGGGGACTGTGTGTGTGTGTGTGTGTATGTGGATGTGCGCGCGCTCGAGTGTGGATGCACGCCTGTGTGTGCGTGTGTGTCGGTTGGCTTGTTGTGTGTTATGGGTGAGGAAGAGAGAGTGTGTGTGAGCGAGTGAGATGGGGGGAGAGAGGGGGCCAGCGTGGGAGCTGGCGGCAGTGCCGGCATCGCCATGGTTGCATGCGGTGCCCCACTGCCGAGCCCCGCGCACCCCCTGTTGCCCCCTGCAGCGCCACGCGCCCAGCGAGAGCCAGGTGGCGGCGGCCGAGGTCCTGATCTTGGAGCTGCAGCTGCCCGCCTTTGACTGCGGCAGCGTGCTGAACCCCGCCCTGCAGCGACACTACGAGGTGGGCTGGGCAGGGGAAGCCCGGGCTGGGGATGTGTGTGTGTGCGTGCGTGCGTGCTGGGGTGGCAGCAGGGCACGTTTATGTCGCTGCGCGCTGGCCGGCCTTTGCCGCGCCACGCCGGCCGGGCCGATACCCCTCCTCCTCCCCTATCTTGCTCGCAAACCGCACCTGCCGCTGCCCCCCCGCTGCTCCCGCTGCCCCCATGCTTCCCGCCGCCCTGCCGCCTCCCTCAGGTGCTCGAGTCGCTGGCTCAGGGCATGGAGCCGTGCCTGGTGGAGGACAGCTCCATAGGGGACCCCACGCTGCCTGGGTGGGAGGAGGAGGCGGGGGAGGGGGCCGATGACGAGGAGGTGGCGGAGGTGGCGGCGCGCATGCAGGCGATCCTGGGGTTCAAGGTGGGGCAAAGGAGGAAAGGAGCAGGGAAGGAGCCGTGTGTCCTGCCCACACGCGGCTGTGTGCCGTCACGGTGTCGCTGCTTGCTGGCATGGCCGGGTGCTGCTGCCAGCTGGCCGACTGTGCATGCTCCTCCTCGTGCGGCCGCCACCCGTCATGCGAGCAGGAGGCGTGCGGCCTCACAGATGACGAGCCCAAGAAGGCCGGCACCAAGCGGGCGGCTGCTGCGCCGGTGGACGCAGATGCTGTGGCGGCGCTGGGTGTGGAGGTGATTGGGAGGTGCTGCGGGGGTCCCTGGTGTGCAGGCGGCTGGTGTGCAGGGGCTGGTGGGTGGCTGCGGGCCCTCAAAAGAGCTGGGCACGGCAGCTGGGGGAGCAGATGGGTGGGCCCAGAAGGCTCGGTGGTTGCCTGCCCGCTTTTGCCATGGCCGCTGCGGGCACCCCTGCGTGGATGCGGATGCCCCCACGCCGCCTGTGCTTGCTGGCCGCACACAGCTCCCTCTGTCGAACGATGCGTGGCCGATGCTAGCTGGTTGTCCCGGCCGCAGGCCAAGGCGGCGGCGGGCACGCTCAAGAGCCTGACGCTTGACCAGCTCAAGATGTGGCTGCGGTCCCGTGGCCTGACGGTGGGAGGCAAGAAGGACGAGCTGATAGCGCGCATACAGAACAAGCTGGGGGCGTAGGGAGGGAGAGCGTCTGCGAGGAGAGTGTGGAGAGGAGATGGGAGCGTTTGCTGGCATCGGCGGCAGGCGGCGGCGGCAGGCGGCAGGCGGGGGCGCCCGGGGGCGGCGGCCGTCTGCGCGGGCCTGCTGTGTACCATACCATACGATTGGCTGTGTATCATGCTCTCTGTTTTCTTTTGGTAAGCCAATTGCTGCATGAACATGCCACAAGGCAAAGTAAAGCAACATCCATGGCGGCGGGTCAGATGGCGGCGCCGACGGGCAGACACTGCACGCTTGCCCAAGCATGCCGCATCAAGCGCGCAAGGCAGAACTCTCGGCATTCGCCAGCGCACTTTCGCAACAGCAGCATGGTTCCCTGACTGGTGTACGGCAGGAGTGCCAGCTGGCACCACAGTTTAAGCCAGAAAGCCTCTGCGGCGTTGGATCCTTCACAGTCTTTGTCGGCGCAATGTCGGGACCGCGTTGCGTGTGGTCACCTGCCCTGCTAACCCTCCTCTGCTGCTGCTTGGCCGGAGGTGAGGCATGGTTTCTCGCTTTCAGCTCGCTCAGCGGGCGTGCAGGGTTTCCCGTTTTGGGGTTTTCGCCCCCCGCCTGGCCCCGAGGAGGGATGTCCGACATGTCAGAGATGCCGGCACCTCGCTCAGCACCTTGCTGGGCGCCGCTGTCAGATCCCAGCCTCCCGACAGCCGTATTAGGCAGCCTGGAGGCCAGGAGCCCCGCACTGCTCCAAACGCGGCAGGCGCCGTGTTGAGGTCTCGGGCATTACTCCCGAAGCGGGCCCAGGGCGTGTGTGCGAGCACCCGAGTCCGAAAAACAAGGGATCCGCGGTGCCTGGTGGCTGGGTTGCGGGGGTGGCGCGCCTCCCGCCCCGCCGCCACGCTGCCGCCGCCGCCATTTCCCCCTTCCCGCCTTGCTGCGGCCCGCCTGTCCACGGCTGCTGCCTCTGCCCCCTTTCCCATGCTGTGCAGGCTCCCTCGCGCAGGTGCCTGGATGAGCGGCCAAAAGCTACAGCTGCTGCCCGGCTGCGGCTGCGTGTGTTGCGCGCTCGGCCGTGTCCCCATGTGCAGCCTGCCTGGCAGCACCGCTCGCTGTGCTGACCGCGTGCGCTGCTCTGTGCTCGCCCCTGCCTGCCTGTCTCCTGCTGCAGCCCGGCGTGCGGGTGGAGGTGCGCTTCAAGGTCCAGGGTGGGTGCTGCCACGCTGCCAGCCCTCGCAGCGGTGCCCGCCGTGCATCGCACATGATGCTGCACAGGTCTTGCCCTGCTGCGCTGCCGTGTGCGCCACGTCCTGCCGCCTGCCCCCTCCTCCGCGCGCCCCGCAGGCGGCCCCGCCAAGGCCAACACCGATGCAGAGCTGCGGGTGGGCGTGCGCCAGTTTGCCGCGCAGCTGGCCGCCAACGGCGTCACGCTCGCCATGGTGGAGTGAGTGGTGCCCGCCTGCCGCCTGCCAGCTCTCCTGCCGCCACCGGGCTGCTGGCTGCCTGCTGCCTGCAGTCTGCCGCCTGCAGCGCTTCTGCCGCCTGCTGCCTGCTGGCCGCCGCCTGCCCGCATCGAGGCTGCGCAGCCGCCGCAGCATGCATGCGGTGCGGCGGCAGGCGTCGTGCACGCCCCGACGCACGCCCCCCGGCCGCCGCCGTGTGTGCAGGTGGCTGGGCGCCGCCGACGGCCAGCCGGGGCTGTCGTGCGTGGCGGCAAACGGCTCCTGGGTGACCGCTCCCATGCGCATACTCACCGCTGCTGCAGTCCAGGTGAGGGGGCATGCTGCTGGTTGGTTGGCACGGCCCCGCAGGGCGGGGCATTTAGGGTCGGCATGGCGGCCAGAGGAGTGCTTGTTGTGCGCCAGGAAACGGCAGCTGGCCGCCCGGATCTGTGTGCCGCAGGTCAAGGCCACCATTGATGGCACCACGGCAGAGGCGGCCAACGCCCTGGTGCGTGCGCCCGGCGGCGGCAGCCGGCCTCGGGGGGGACCTGCGCGCCGTGCTGCGCTGCCGTGCCTGTTGTCCCAGCCGGTGCCCCCCAGCTGCCTCACCTGGCCTCGCCTGCTCATTGCCTTATGTGGCGGCTGTGCCTGCCGGCCCCTGCTGCCCTCCATGCTGCTGCTGCTGCTGCCGCCTGCTGCCGCTGCAGTGGGCCACCACGGCAGGCGCTGTGGAGGTGCCTGCAGGCCCCGCCTGCCTGGCGCCGGGCGCCACGGTCACCACGCTGCTGCCGGGTGGGTGCGCCTGCCGCGCTGCGGCTGCCAGGCGGGGGCGCCGGCGGGGCTGGCCACAGCGGCGGCATCGCCATCTGTCAGCTGCGGCTGTAGTGTGTCACTGCCACGCCTGACCTGTCAGTCCTCGCCCCTTCCTTGCAGTCGTCATCGCCAAGTCGCCCCCGCCGCCCAAGCGGCCCCCGCCCAAGCGACTGCCGCCGCCTCGCCCCAAGCCCCCCAGGCCGCCAAAGCGGCCGCCCAAGCGGCCGCCGCCGCGGCCTCGCCCCCCCAAGCCTCCTACGAAAAGGCCGCCGCCCTCGCCACTGCCGCCCCGCCCGCCGACCCCCGTGCGCCTGCGGTGAGGTGGCGCAGCTGCCGCTGCCGCTGCTGCCAGCTGACAAGCAACTGGTAGCACCTGCCCCTGTCTTTGTCCCGCATCCACCGAAAACGCATCCACCCCGAAAATCTCACCTCCGCATTTCCTTGATCCACACAGGCCGCCTTCGCCTTCCCCCAGGCCGCCTCCGTCGCCGTCCAAGCCGTTAAAGCCGCCGCCGCCAACCCCGCGGCCACCGCCCTTCCCCAGGCCCCCGCTCCCGTCGCCTCCAGAGGAGTCGCCCAGCCCCTCGCCCAGCCCGGTGTTTCCAGACAGCCCCTCCCCTTCACCCGTCTCGCCCTCCCCATCCCCCGACGCATCGCCGTTCCCCAGCCCAAGCCCGTACTTCAGCCCGAGCCCCTCGCCTGTGTTTGACTCGCCGAGCCCATCGCCGCTTGACTCCCCAAGCCCATCTCCACTCGTGCCAGCTCCTCAACCCACCTATGCGCCCACACCACAGCCCAGCTACGCCCCAACGCCCACACCACAGCCCAGCTACGGGCCAGGACCAGCCCCGGCCGGCCCTGCGCCCGTCCCTGCGCCCTCCTACAGTGAGTGGAAGAGCAGCAGCGCCGCCAGGCACATTCGTGCGTGCCATCCTGCGGGGCTTGTCCAGCCAGCAGCGGCGGCAGGCAGCCGTGGTCCCCGTTCCTCCCTTTGCCCCTGCCCACCAGCGCCGCTTTCCGATTGCAGGCCCGATCCCGGCGCCCGCCCCGGGGCCAGAGCCGCCGGTGCCGATGTGCATGGCAGAGTGAGTGGCAGCAGCGGCATGCGCTTGCGCCTTTCCATCCTTCCATGGGATGCAGGTAGCTGAGGGAGGCTGAGCCCTGGTGCCCGCTCCCCTCCCTCCTCGCCTTCCCGCTGCCCGCAGGCCCGCCTGCCAGCTGTTCATCGCCGACAGCCTGTGCTGCATGGGCTACGGCATCATCCAGCACGCTGCCGTGCGCATGTGGCTGGTGTGCAACGCAGACGTGTACCTGCCGCAGCCCAAGTGCCTGACAGGTAGCGCTGCGGCGTGGCGTGGCTGGGTGTTCCCTCACTGTACCCTGCCCTTGGCTTGCCACTGCACGCTCTCACCTGCTCTGCTCGACTGCTCACCTGCTCGCCTCGCCCGCGCTGCCCCTGTCCCATTGCTTAACAGTCACCGACACTTTCAACGGAGAGGTGATCCCAAACATCGGCATCGACGCCGCCGACGTGCTCAACGCCGTCAATGTGACCGCCCTCGGCACCCCCAACGCCCGCGCAGCAGGTGCTGCAGCCGCCGCCGGGGGTGCCTGGCTGCCAGATGCTGCCGGTAGCACCTGCCGGTGGAGGTGCATTCAAGACTGCCTGGGGCCTGCCCTCTGGAGGCACCGCCCTGCTCCCGCCGCTGCTGCCGCGTGCCGCAGCCAGAGGGTGACCGCTGGGCTCCCCCTGACACCCCCACTGCAGAGTACCTGGTGGGCCTGCCCCCCGCCTACTACTTCCCGCCCCACACCGCTACCGAGGGGCAGCTTCCCCTGGCGCTGGACGTTGAGCAGACCAGGTGGGGAGGCGGGTGCCTGCCTGGCGGGCTGGCTGATTGGCGCATGGGCTGGTTGGCGCATGGGCTGCCTTGGCTGGCCGCTGCAGCCTGCCTGCGTGCCTGGCTGCCTGCCTGCTTGCCTGCCTGCCATCCCACCACTCCCCTTCCCCCTGCCCTCCCTGCGCTGCCGCCCGCAGGATGACTTTCATCGACGGCCTGTGCAGCCTGCGGCTGCGGGTGCCGTGCGAGTGGCAGGGCGCCATCTACGAGTCAGTCACTGCAGTGCCGCCCATCCCGCTGCTGTCAGGTGCGCGGCTTGGTGGGCGGCTGGCGCTGCGGGCAGCTGGCTGCAGGGCTGCCAGCCTGCGCTCGGCAGCCTCCCTCTTCAGCTCTCCTCGTGTCTCCAGCAGTGCAGGCGTGTATTGCTTGCCGGCCCAGCCCCCCTCCCTGGCCTGCTGCCCGGCTGAACCCTGCATGTGGCTCCCGCAGTGCTGAGCGCTAACGAGACCGAGGAGGCGGCTGCGATTGTTGAGGATGCGCTGGGCGACCAGAGCGACGGCAGCGAGCAGCAGGAGCAGCGGCGGCGCCTGCTGGCGGCGGCGGCCTCGGCCGGCCGAGGCCTGAAGCAGGAGCTGCTCACCGGGGCGGGATCCAGACCTGACCCGCAGGCGGCGGCAGCAGGCGGCCTGGCAGCGCTGGATGAGCTGCCGCTTGGAGGATTGGACTTTGACAGCTTCTCCGCTCCGGGTGAGCCTGCCGCCGCTGCCCCTGCCGCTGCTGCTTCTGCTGCCGCCGGCGGCGCGCGCGTTCTGCGAGCAGGTGCTTCACCCTGGCAGGCAGCTGCCAGCCTGCGCTGGCAGCCTGCGCGGGTGGCTGGAGGCCGTCGCCTGTCTGCCGACCGTGCTGCTTTGGTGGTATTGCGCACCTGTATGTGATGCAGGCCGCGTGGATGCCCGCATGCTCATCACCACCATCGGCGGCGAGCTGCCAGAGCCGCAGGTGGACGAAGGTGAGGCGCCAGGTTGGGCTGCATCTGGGGCTTCTCCGGTGCTTGTTCGCCCTCACCTCCTGCCGCGCTGGCCTGTGCCTGGTTTGTGGCACGACTTGTGGCAGTTACTGTTGTTTACATCGTGCTGCCCCCCCTGCCCTTCCACCGCTCTTTGCAGGCGCGCTGCCGCCGCTGACGGATGTGCTGAGCGTGGAGGGTCTGCAGGCGGACCTGCTGTTTGAGGACTACTTCATCAGGTGGGGGTCTTGATCCTGGTTCTGCATGGTGGTTAAAAGAGCTTCGTCTTGACGCTACACCCTTTCAGCATCGTGGTGCTGACCGTGGCGCCGTCGCCCCTCCCCCGCGCCCCGCAGCTGGATCCCCAGCAACTCGACCGCGGGGGAGGTGTGCCAGATGACCAATGCCGGTGACCTGCCAGAGTCCTTCCTGCTGGTGAGCGCTGGCAGCTGGCCTTGGCACCTGCTGGCCTGCCTGCCTGCATGCGCAGCTTTCTTCCTCCCATGTGGAGCTGGCAGCTCTCTCCTGCGCTTCCAAGCTGACTTGATAGCTGCTGGCACGCGCCCTGCCCTGTACTCGCCCTGGCTCCAGGGCAACTTTGACGACCTGGTGGGGTATGAGGAGGACTGCAGCCCTGAGTCTCTGCTGGAGACCAGCAGCGGCGAGCCGGCCCCCCTGGCATAGGCGCTCCCGGCGCCGCCCTGACTCGTCACCTGCCCATCCAGCCGGCGTGATGCCGGCGTGACCATTCGGGGACCCTCCCTGCGCGTGTAACCTCCAAACCTCCATAGCGGGATTCCCATTTGCATCCCGCCCCCAAATGTTATGCATCCCGAATAGCGATTCGTTCCCCAATTTTTGCTGAGTCACATGCCCTTGTCCAGAGCGTCGCTTTATCTTTCCAGCACTGCTCATCTACCTGACCCCGTTTCTTGCCCTCTCCTGACGACCGCTGCAACCAGATACACCAGTATATCTTCCTTGGTGTGTGTTGCATTTGCCTTGCAGCACCTTGCCTGAGCAAGGAAACTGTACAACGCCAGCAGCAATGGAGTGCATCAGGTGCAGGCTGGGAATCGGCTGCCGCGCACCAGCAGGGCAGAAGGCAGGGCAGAGAGGGGCTTTGCGTGAGTTGAAAGAGGCGGCAGCACGTCAGCAAGCGCAGGCTCTGCAAGGGCAGGAGTGAGGAAGGCAGCAGTGAGGAAGGCAGCAGCGGAGCTCGGGCAAGCGGCTGGCATTGATTGATACCAGGGCTCTCTTGCAGCCAGCAGCGTGTACGAAATGCAACAAATGTGTGTGCAGAGCTGGCAGCCAGCTGCGCACCGAGCAACGGCGCTCCGTGGGATGGGAAGATTAGCGGGCTCACCCGCCAAAGCCGCGCCGTCTCTGGGCACTCACGACAGGACATGCGCCACCTGCCGGCCGGTCCAGCAATGAAGCCCTTGCTTCCGCCGCCTGATGCGCCGCCAGTCGTGCTGCCAGTGCCGCCGCCAGTGTGTGCAGCGCCGGGCGAGACCGGCTGCGGCACTGGCGACGGCACTGGCGGGACAACGGGCAGCGCGAATGGAGGCGGAAGCATGGGCTTCATTGATGGACAGGCGAGCAGGGGGCAAATACCTGGCATCCAGTGCTGAGGGGCGGCGCAGCACGGCTCCGGCTGGTGAGCACCGTTGCTTGCCACGCCAGCTGGCTGCAAGAGGGCCCTGCCATCATTCACTTGCCCGGCGCTGCACACAGGGGAAGAGCGCAGCAGCGATGGGGTCGGGTCTCGCCTTGGAGTAACAGTTGCATACTGAAGCGGCAAGCGCCCAGCAGCCAGCAGCGCAGCGCCGGCAGTGGCGGCGAAGACAGCAGTGCATCGCTGGCTGCAAGTGGGCCACCAACCAGCAGCCGCCGCCAGGAGCACAGGATACTCACGCGGGCCGCCGCTATCAGGCGCAGATCCCGTCTCGGAAGGAGCCGGCTGCTGCAGGAGGATGTCTCGCGAACTAGTGAGCGACTCGATGATGCTGTTCTTGGCCTCTAGCTGCGCAGGGCGGGCGTCAGCTCTCGCTGCTTGTCCGCCAGTCGGGCGCGAGTTTGCCCGACAGCTGGGGCAAACACGCTCCCGGCTGGCCGACAAGCGGCGAAAGCGAGATGCACGCTGAGGAGCGCAGCTAGCTCAAGGACATCAACATCGACTCGCTCACTCGCGAGGGAGGCATCCTCCGCAGCCAACTGGGCTCCTCCGAGGCGGGCTCTGCGCCAGGCAGCGGCGGCTCTGCGCTAGGCAGCGGCGGCCGTGAGCAGCCTGCACGCTTGGCGGCACCCAGCCGGCTCGCACTCCCTGGGTGCAGAGGGGCTCCTGCTACCGCTGCTCATTCGCCTGCGGAGCAGGGGTGAGCAGGCAGCAGGCTAGATTTCAGTAGCGGGCACCGGCGCCGCCACCGGAGCCGCCACGGACGAGTTCTCCCCCTAGGACCCGCCGGCCGGGCTGAATATCGTTGGCAGTGCGCACCTTCTCCTGCGTCGTGCGCAGGCTCGTGGCAGCAAAGTAGGCGCGGGAGCGCTCCTGCGCCCTCCGGTGCTCAGAACCCTTGCCTGAAGACGCCGATTGTGCTCCTGCCCGCCCCCACAGCATCCAGGATCCTATAGACGACGCAGAGAAGGTGCGCACTGTGCACAGGGCAGCCTGAGGCCTCCTGTGCGCTGAGAAGGTGTGCACGGTGCTTCATGTTATGTCAATGCTCTAGCCGATGAAGCTTTCGTAACAGGGAACGAAAGAATAAAAGGTAAGAGACACAAGGGAGAAACCACCCCACATGAGTCCTCGTCACATGCCCAGCAGCCTCTTGCACCGCGCCCCACCCAGCTGCACACATTTCTCGAATGGAGCATAGCCATGAAGACGCGAGCGAGCGCTAGGCTGCTGCTCGTGGGCCTGGCATCTTTCATTCTGCTGTCAGGTGCGCGCCGCCTTGGAGCCGTTGATGTTTGGGCCTCTGTCTTGGGGAGCTACCCATCCGTCGTCCAGGCAGCACCGTGGGCGGGCAGCCACACGTTGAGTGGGCAGGCGTTCGATGGCGAGAAATGCACGAGATCTCCTGGGTTTCTCGCCTCCACTGCTGGACGGACCTGCTCAGAGACTTGCTGCAAACACGGACTGCGGCCCACACATGGCTGCAGCGAGTCTGCGGTCCCTCCCAACTGCCCGTTCATTCATTCATTCATTCAGCACACAGCCCGGCCGCCTCTTGCTCGAGGGCGGCCCACTTTGGCCTGGGCCGCCCGGGCCGCCCTCCCCCCCGGGCGCATGTTCGGTGTTGGAGGGGTGTGCCCAGCGATAGGGGGCCCCTGAAGGCATGCGCCGAGGCCGGGAAGCGTGGTTCGGCGCTGCTGCACGCTTGGCGATTTGACCAGAACCACGTGCCGCCGAGCTGCGGCCGCAGTTTCCGGCCCACGGTCTACGGTCGCAGCCACGGGACTCGGCGGCACGGCGTTTGGGCCCAAGCTTGCTGCCGCCGCCGCCGTGCCCGGGGGGCAGCGCGGCGGCGGCGGCACGCTGCGACGCCCCCGTGCTGCCGAGCTGCGGCCGTAGTTTCCTGCCAGAAGCCCACGGCCACAGCCACGGGACTCGGCGGCACGGAGTTTCGGTCCACGGCTTGCTGCTGCCGCCGTCGCAGGGGTGCTGCCTGCGGCGGCGGCGGCACGGCGTTTGGGTCCACGGCTTGCTGCCGCTGCCGCCGCCGCAGGGGTGCTGCCTGCGGCGGCGGCGGTAGCGCACGTGGCAACCCCCCGCGTTTCCTTGCCTCCCATCCACCGGACCCCGTCCTGCGCTTCACTTTGTTTAGGGAGGGGCTGCTCACTGCTCATTGCTCATTGCTCATCGCACACTGCTCAACGCTCATTGCCCTATATCCCACCCAGCCGCAGGACTCCACTGCCGCCCGCGCCCCGCCCCATCTGGCCGCTTGCGCGCCCCATCCCCCCTCGATGGGGCCCGCCCACACCGGGGCCTCCCCCCTCCCGCCCACTGCTTTCTCAACGGCCCCGAGCCGGGGCTGCCCTCATTGCATACATAGTGCGCCTTTCCCTGCTTTTCTAGTGACCTAGCGTTCCGCACTGCCGTTTGGCCAGCCCATGCTCCCGTACCGTTGCGTTTCTCCCCAATGCGCCATGCCACTTTGCCAGTCATACACACGTTTCGATGCGTGCCCTGTCAGCTGCTTGCGTTGCATGTCGCCTTGCTCCACCCCTGTTTTATTGCTTTCTCTGCTTTCGCCCGGTTCCCGTCCCGTTTCGGCGGGGAGTCTATGTTGCAAGCTAGTTCTTGCTTTACCAGACTTTAAGCCCACACAAGCAACAAGCAAGCCCGCCGCCGCTGCCGCGCCGCTGCTGTCGCGCTGCAGTCAGCTGAGGTGCATGTTGCATGCTGCGCTGCAGGCTGCCTGGCGCAAGGACCAACCAATGGAACAGCGAGAGGCAACACAAAAGCAGGAGATGTTTTCGTCAGAGCAGCAGCAGGGGTGCGTGTGCCGCATGTGCCGCTATCCGCATCTGCCCCCGCCTGCGCGCACCCTCCTGAGGATGGCAGGCAGGCAGCGCTGCGGCCCCACATTCAGCATATATTCAGCAAGCAAAAAGCAAAAAAGCGGCGCTTGCTTCCCATGTGCAGGAACAGGGCGTGACTCTCATCGTAAAGTTCAGGGTCCAAGGTGGGCCGCGCATGGGGTGGCTGCAGCTTGCTACAACGCAACTGTGCCGTGCAGGAGTGGGCTGGGGGGGGGGTCGCAGCCGGGGCCATCAGCTGGGGCCGGCATGCAGGCAGCCAGGTGCACGACCCCGGCATGTGGAGAACACGATGGGTCCCGCTGCTGGGCTTGGTGATGATGCGGGAGAGATCGTGGCTTAGTTGTACCGTACACTTCCTGCTGCCCCTGCAGGCGGAGCAGCGTTTGCAAATGGCGACGTCAACCTGCGAGCCCAGATCCGGGCCTTTGTGGCTCAGATCTCGGGCAACGGCATCGCAGCAGGGGCTGCGACGTAAGCGCGGAGGACAGCTTGGGAGGCTTGGCATGCGTGTGCAGAAAGGGCGGCGGTGCATGCAGCAAGACAGCACGGCGCAATGCAAAGGCGGTGTCACAGCGCCAGCGGCTGTGCGGCACGCTGGGAGTGCGCGGCAAGCATTGCAGCTGCTGGCGCGTTATGCTCACAGCCCTGCGCTTCATCTTGCCGCAGGTTCGCTGGCGCCTTGACCGACAATGTGGTGCCACCCTGTAGCGACCAGGCGGGGGTGTGGGCGCCGATGCAGGTCACTACAGCCACCGCAGCCATCGCGCAGGCGGTGAGGAGCTGTTGTTGCTGCTGAGAAACAGGAAGCAAGCAAAGTGGCGGTGATGCCGAGCCCTATCGGCATTGTGTTGCTTTGCTAGTGTGCCTGCGTATGGGGCCCTGGTAGCAGCCGGAGGCGGCTGCCGTCGGTGCCCTGCATAGGGGGCTGCCCGATGCATGTCAGCTCCATGCTTGCTTGCTTGCTGGCGGCCCGCAGGTCAAGGCGAGCTTGACGGCAGCGCTGACAGCTGGCGGCACATCATCCGCAGCGGTGCGTATTGCGGTGCCTCTGCCTCTTGCTTGACATTTGTGACGGCCGCATCTTCTGTACCTGATGGCTGGCTGCCTGGCTGGATAAGGGTGGCGTTGGTCCACGTGTGGAAGTGGACGGAACATCCACACACATGCAGGTCGACATCTCAGCGCTGCCTTTTGTCCTGCCTTCACTACATCCAATGCAGTGGACTGCCACGGTTGGCTCGCTGGCTGACCCCGCTGGCGCGGCGTGCATGACCCCGGTGGCGACGCAGGCTACGGTGCAGCTGCTGCCCGGTGGGTGCCTGCCCAACTTCTCGGCCGCCCCCGCATGTCAGGCTGTCGCTGGTGTGCCACACAGTACCCAGTCTGCACAACTTGCACAGCGCCGCACCACCACGGAGCACATCGTGCAGCAGAGGTCTGCATGAGGGGCGGCCCAATGGCAGCGCATTGAATGACGTTCACATGCCACTTACACCCTCGCCTTCCCGCTTGCAGACAGCATCACGAGCCCGCCACCTCCTCGCCCGAAGCCACCAAAGCCGCCCCCGCCGCGGCCCAAGCCGCCCCCGCCACGGCCCAAGCCGCCTCGCCCGCGCCCGCCTTCTCCCCGTCCGCCCAAGCCGCCGCCGCCGAGGCCCAAGTGAGCAGCGGGCGACTGGAGGGACAGATGTGTGGAGCATGCTCTGCCATGCCTGCTCTGCCATCCATACCGCACGGCCCTGCTGCCCTAGCCTCACATCGCCGGCTGCTTCATTTCTTTTTTGTAGGCCGCCTCCCCGGCCGAAACCGCCGCGCCCTCCGCCTCCCCGGCCCGCCAGACCACCGCCCAGGCCCAAGCCGCCCAAGCCGCCGCCGCCCACGCCACGGTGAGCAGCAGCTGCCTGAGTGAAAGCTGGAGCAGCTCTTGTTGAGCGCTCTGTGGTAGCAGAGCCTGCAGTTGCAGCACCCAAGCTGCACTGCAGGCGTGCTTTGGTCCCACAGCCTGCCGCCTGCCTTTCTCCATTCACTTGTGCAGGCCTTCCCCGCCTCCCCCGTCGCCGCCGCCTCGCCCGCCCCGGCCAGTGCGCCTCCGTCCGCCGCCCCTCCCTCCTCCCTCTCCTCCACAGCCGCCCTCGCCCTCCCCGCCGCACCGCTTCCAGTGATCCTGTCCCCAGAGCTCCCGCCCTCTCCAGTCTTCTACAGCCCTCCACCCCCGCCGCCGACGCCCTACATTTCGCCATCCAGCCCCCTTAGCCCCGTTTCGCCTTCAAGCCCCGTATCGCCTTCAAGCCCAACCAGCCCAACCAGCCCAACCAGCCCCTACTCGCCTACCAGCCCAACAACCAGCCCCTACTCTCCCACCAGCCCCTACTCGCCGTCAAGCCCCTACTCTCCCGTCACCCCCTACAGCCCCCTCCCCCCCAGCAGCCCCTATGCCCCTCTCTCGCCCTACGGTCCCCTGCCGGTCAGTGCCAGCACGACAACAGCGCCGCCCAGCCGCATGCGGCACCTGCTTCTCCCTGTAGCCCATCTGTGCTGCTGTTTGTGCTGGAGCCCCGACGCTGCCAACAACCCTCACCTGGCCTGCCGTTGCCCGCCTGCAGGTGTCGCCGTACCCGATTTCACCTTATGGTGTCAGTCCCAGGTCAGTGGCAGCAGGCACCACCACGGCGCTGTAGCTGCTCGGAGCACTAACAGCCCTTTTTACACCCCGCGTTTCCCATGCAGCCCCTCGCCCTACGGCCCTGTCGCCAGCCCCTCGCCAGCGCCCTTGGGGCCATCACCGGCGCCTTTTGGCCCGTCGCCGGGGCCCTTTGCGCCGTCGCCGGCGCCGTTTGGGCCGTCGCCGGCGCCCACTCCCGGGCCTGGGCCCGGACCGGGTGAGCTGGCCCTGCCTGCCTGCCTGCCTGTCTGTCTGTCAGTGTCACATCACGCATCTCGCCGAAGCAAACCACGCAGGGTTTCGCTGGCCCAGGCCTTTGCCACGGCAGCGTGCCCGCGACTGCTGTCCCCTGCCGCCGCTGTTGTTGCAGGCCCCGGCCCCAGCCCAGGACCCGGCCCGGCCCCCACCCCCGGCCCAGCACCCCAACCACCCCCGATGTGCATGGCAGAGTGAGTGAGCCAGGGCGCTGCAGGTTGCTCTGGAGTCCAGGGAGCGGCTGCCACGCATGCTGCCGGCATGTGCGCACTGCTGAGGGCGGGGTGGCTCCTCGGCTCCACCCCGAAACCTAGCATCACCTGCCTGGCGCCGAGTATTCTATTGGTCCCCCCTCCTCTGCTCTCCTGCAGGCCCCTGTGCAAAATATTCATTGCAGATAGCCAGTGCTGTAGCGGCTACGGCATCATCCAGCACGCCGCCGTGCGCATGTGGCTGGTGTGCAACGCAGACGTGTACCTGCCGGAGCCTACCTGCCTGACGGGTGCGTGGGCGGTGGGCTGCGGGTGCTGCGGGGTGTGCCACCTGGCAATACCAGCAGCTCGGGATGCGGCGGGTGGTCCCTACGGGTGGTCTGAGAGGACCAGCCAGACCACGTGTCCATCCGTCCTTGTCCTCTGCACTCACAACCTCGCGCCTGCCGCTCCATCTGGGTGGCTCCCATCTGCAGTTGTGGACACCAGCACCAACGAAATCATCCCTCCCCTTGACCCCAACAACCCAGACCCGCTCAACTCCGTCAACACATCTGTGGTGGAAACGCCAAACGCCCGAGCAGAGGGTGCGGCTGCACGCACGCTGTTGGCAGGCTTGCCGCCATTCTGGCGCTGCCAGCTGGCCGAGCAACCAGTGGCTTGCTGTTGCCCAGGATTTCGGGCCATCTCATTTAGCCGCGCCCAACATCGCAACGGCCCAGCCTGCCTGCCCGCCTGCAGAGCTGCTGGTGGAGCTGCCCCTGGCATACTATGTAGCGCCGGTCAGCCGCGTGCCTGGCCAGCTTGCCGTGCAGCTGGATTTCGAGCGGACGAGGTCGGTGGCAATGTGCTGCTCCTCTCCCCAACCCAGCAGATCTGCGTTGCCACCTGCTGCGCCACCGCTGCACCTGCTCTGCAGGATGAATGAGGATGGGCAGTGCAGCCTGCGGTTGCGGGTGCCGTGCGAGTGGGAGGGGGCGGTGTATGAGGCGGTGACCGCCGTGCAGCCCATGCCGCTGCTGTCAGGTGACTGGGGTGGGTGGTGGCCCATGCCGCCGCGTGGTTGCTGAATCGGGCTTGCATGAGCAGAGAAGCAGCCTACAAAGGTTCTACAGCGGGGCATGTAGTGCTGGTGCTCCTCCTGCCCGGTGCTGAGAGCTCGGTCCAACGCCCCCCCGCTGTGCCCGCTGCTGCAGTGCTGAATGCCAACGAGACGGCAGAGGCGGCGGCCCAGGTGGAGGACAACGCTGTGGGCGCTGACGAGCAGGGAGTCGACCAGGCACCTATCGAGGGGGCCGGTTCCATGCTGCCTGCGCTTCGGCGCCTGCAGGCCGCGATGGGCCGCGGCCTCAAGGCAGAGCTCCTGACTGGGTCAGGCGCGATGCCAGACCCGCTGGCGCCGCTGGGCATCGCCGGGCCTGCCGCGGTGCTGGACCCCGAAGCGTTCTTGGCGCCAGGTGTGCTGTGCTGCCCCTTGGGCCAGTCGCCCGCTCGAGCTCCGGAGCTCCAGCCCGCCCGCCTCGCCATGTGGGCTGGGCATGCTGCTTGTGCCGCTGCCGCCATCATTCTCCTGCCCTTCCCTGCCAAGCTCCGAGCGCATCCTCGTGGCTGCTGCAGGCCTGTTCGACTCGCGCCCCGGTTCCCGCATGCTCATCACACGGGTCGGCAGCGAGCTTCCCAAGGGGGAGGTGGACGATGGTGCGGCGCCGCTGTGCTGTGCTGTGCTGGCTCGCTGCAGCACCACCACCGCGCCCTCCGGTCGGCCCTAAAACCCCAGCCTGTCCCGCTGGCCTGAATGTGCCAGATCGTCAGGCCAGGCAACTGGTTGATCCCTGCCTGTGCCTGCCTGCCGCCCTGCAGCCACGCTGCCGCCGCTGATGGATGTGCTGACGGAGGGCCTCACAGCGGACCTGCTGCTTGAAGACTACTTCATCAGGTGGGGCAGGGTGGGGCGGTATGCATACTTGGCGGTACATGGTGGCTGCTGCGACAGTCACACTAGTGTGGGTCGTGGAGGCAGGGGTGCCAGCCTGGCGGCCAGTGTCTGGTTCCGGGGTGTTAACTGCCCTACCCCCACCGGCTCCACCCCGCAGCTGGCTGCCGACCAACTCCTCGTCGGGCGAGCTGTGCCAGATGACCAATGCCGGCGACTTGCCAGAGTCCTTCCTGCTGGTGAGCGCCGGCAGCTGGCCTTGGCACCTGCTGGCTGCGGCTCACAGGAACGGTTGCTGCTCTCCGGGGCGTCCCCCCCGCACCCGCTGCGTGTCACACCCTGTCATCTCCATCGAGAGCTTCGCTCCACCTTGTGGTCCTCTCCCTGCAGGGAAACTTTGACGACCTGGTGGGCTATGAGGAGGACTGCACCCCCGAGTCTCTGTCCGACGCCTTCACCCCCGTCGACCCTCTCTTCCAGTAGCCGCGCCCAGCTTGCGGGATGCCATCAGCCCCACTAGGTTGCCCAGCGGCAGCGCTAGTGGGGCTAGCTCCTTACAAATAATGTGATATGTTCTCTTTTCATTCTTTCCTATATATCCAGCAACACTGAACACGGGCGGGAAGGCGAGCTGGCATCCCCTCGCCATCTGGCCGTGGATTGGCCGATTACAACCGTCTCCTGCGTCTCCCACCATTTTTCTGGCAGGAGTGTCAGCCACTCTGCTGGGCTCTTGTGCCTGCTGCTGTGCGCCCAACCCGCTCTATAGACGCACGCCGCCGCAGCGCAGCCCGTGCACCCTGCTTGCTGCCTTTTGCTGCTACCGCTCTCCTGTAATGCTTAACATCCAAAACACAGCGATACACTAATTTAGTGCCCAGCTGGCCGGGGGCTTGGCCTTGAGGTATGCTTGTTCAGTGCACGGCAGGTCCGCCGCCGCCGCCTCTGCCGCCGCCTGCCACGTCAGCTCCCCACTTGTAAAGTGCAGCAGCCGGGCCTGACCAAGCTGCAGAACGCACATCCCGGTCAGATGGCGCCCAGGGGGCTCGCCCCGGCGGCCCTGCTTGCGGTGGCAATTTGGTGCTGGGCGGGAGGTGAGCTGCGGAGGTTTCTGGGACGGGCACGCTGCGTGGACGCGTACCAAGCTGCGATCTAGTTTGGGGGCCCAGCAGCGGGAAGCGCGCGCCATGTCCTGGCGCTGCTCCTTTTCCCCATGTCCGCCTGATCGCTGCCACAGTGCATGTGGATGGGCTAGGATGCCGTCCAGCACAGGCTTGACCTCCCCGTCCCGCCGCTTCCACCGCCGCTGGGGCCCCCGCCGCCTGGACACGCCTGCTGGCACCTCCGCCCGGTCCAGCTGCGCCTGCACGTTCTTCCCTTGCCTGACGCAGGTGCTCAGGCGGAGTCTGTCGAATTTGTTGTTTTGTTCAAAGTGGAGGGTGAGCTGTCGGCAACGGGTGGAGCGTGCTTGGCGGAAACAGGCGGCACGCCTGCGCAGGGGCGAGGCCGCCCTCCTAGCGCCGGCTGCCCCTCGCTGCACGCAGGCGGAGCCCCCTTTGCCAACAAGAACATCAGCTTCAAAGCCGAAGTCAAGAAATTTGCGGCCAGGGTTGCGGGTGGCAACGGCCTGTTTGCGTCGGATGTCACGTGAGTGTGTGGGCAGGTTGCGCGGTTGTGGGTGCGGTGTGGGTGGGTGTGGAGGTGGATGGGGTCTGGGCAGGTTAACTACTGGGTCCGTGGTGGAATGCCACATTCAACTGCCACCTGCTGCAGCTTGGGGAACGTGCTGTTGATGCTCAGTCATCAGTCGCAACCCCCAACCCGGCCCTGGTTTCCCGCCTGTGCCTGCAGGTGGCTGGGCGCTGCCAACAGCAGCCAGGCGGGTGCTGGCTGCGACGGCGAGGCCGGGGAGTGGGTCTCCGCCCCGCTCAGCATAGCCACGCCCGATGCTGAGGTGGCAGACCTGGTGAGGCCCTGCCCTGCCTGGTGGCTGCACCTGAGCAGCAGCACGTGGGCAGCAGGGAGGTGGTGGGATGGCAGTCCATGCCGGCGGGGCGGCGGCCAGCGGCCGTGCCTCCGCGGCCTGCTTTCTCGTGTGCCTCGGACGTCCTTTCCACCTGGGGAATGGGGAGTGCAGGTGTTCAAGAACATCACGAAAGCCGTGGGGCCAGGCGGGGTGGCGCCCGAAAAGGTGTGCCTCCTCTTCGCAGTCTCCAGCTGTGGCGTGGCGTGGCTTTGCAGCGCATGCATGGAGCGGGGCGGTTGTTTGTGCGACAGCGCACAGCGCAGGCGGCGGCGGCGGTGTGCCTCGCTGGGGCCAACCGCTGCTATCTGCCGTCCAGCCAGCGGTCGCTGCTGCTGCCTCCCACCACCCAGCCATCCTGCGCCCCTCCCACACCACTCACCGCTCCCTCTGCCTGGCAGTGGGCCGACACGGTGGGCAACCTGACGGCGCCGGCAGGGCTGGCGTGCCTGGACCCAGAGGGCTCCAACAACGTCACCATCCTGACGAGTGAGTCCCTGCCTGCCTGCCTGCCTGCCCAAGTGGCCTGCCCGTGCCTCCACCACCTCACAGCTGCGTAGCTGTCTCCTGCCTCGCCTGGCGTGTACAGAGGCTGCTTGCTGCACCCGCTTTGCTGTGCAGATGGGACCAGCCCGCCCCCTCCTTTGGGAGACCAGCCGCCGCCGCCCCAGGCGGATGCCCCGCCGTCGCCGCCCGCTCTTCCGCCTGAGCCACCCTCCCCGCCGCCACCGGATCCTCCATCCCCTGTCGACAACAAGCCGTCTCCTCCCTCTCCTAGACCGCCGCCGAAACCCAAGCCTCCTCGGCCGCCGCCGAGGCCCAAGCCGCCGCGTCCGCCGCCACACCCACGGTGAGCTTGAGCCGTGCTGCATGCCGCTACCCATCCATGCTTTCCCCGCCGGCATGCCTTGCATCTCTCTCAACTTAAACTTGCTATGGTTTGTGATAGAGACCTGCTTTGGCTGCTCAGGCATGTGCATTCCTTGATTGTTGCTGTTCATGCAGCCCACCACGACCGCCGTCCCCGCGACCACCACGCCCGCGGCGATCACCGCCACCTTCTCCACGCCCGCCACGCCCTCCACGCCCGCCACCTCGCCCACCCCGCCCTCCACCTCGCCCGCCGCCACCAAGCCCAAGACCTCCTCGTCCTCCACCGTTTCCTGCTCCTCCGCCACCGCCTCCACCACCACCTCGGCCTCCTCCACCTTCGCCCCCTCCCCCCCCGCCGCCGCCGCCACCACCTCGTCCCCCGCCGCCTTCTCCCCCTCCCCCCCCGCCGCCGCCACCACCCTCGCCTCCGCCTCCACCTCCACCCTTGCCAGTGAGCCCGTCACCGTACTCTCCTTACCTTCCCAGGTGTGTATGTCTGAGATGCCTATGGTTGCATGTATCTGCTTCATGCGCATTGCTGAAGAATGCTTCCGTCACTGCACTTGCTTTATCATTAATATTTGTTGGTGTTATGATTCTCCAATACCTCAGCCCGTCACCATTCTCACCGTACATCCTGAGCCCCAGCCCGTCACCTTACTCGCCCAGGTGTGTGTACATGTCTGCTGTATCTGTTGCAAGAGGGTGCATGTGTTCGTTCCTCAGTTCGTGCTTCACAAATAATGCGTGCATGCTCATTGCAGTCCGTACATCGTGAGCCCGAGCCCCTCCCCCTATCTCAGCCCCTCACCTTACTCGCCGTACATACCAAGCCCCTATGCCAGTCCACCAGCAATTGCCCCCAGTCCGCAGCCATTGGCACCTACGCCGCAACCAGACATAGCCCCTGCACCAGAACCGTACGCCCCCGTTCCACAGCCCAGCTACGCGCCGCAGCCTGCACCAACACCTGCGCCTGTGCCAGCGCCAGTCCCGGCGCCCGTGCCTGCGCCTGCTTACAGTGAGTGGGGCAGCGGCGGCTGGGGTGGCACGAAGTCGGCAGCTGAGCGGTGCCTGCCTGGGTGGTTTGGGGGCAGCCTACCTCCAGTGTCTAGAGCTAAACAAGGCAGGTGCGCCCATGACTATGTGCAGGCCCACTCCCGGCGCCTGCCCCTGCGCCCGAGGGCCCTACTGCCATGTGCATGTCAGAGTGAGTTGCAGCGACAGCAGGGGGAGCTCGCCAGCTGTTACTGCTACAATGCCTCTGCTGCTCAGCGCTCACGATGTCCCCCTGCACTTGCCCAACGCTGCCCGCAGGCCCGCCTGCCAGCTGTTCATCGCCGACAGCCTGTGCTGCATGGGCTACGGCATCATCCAGCACGCCGCCGTGCGCATGTGGCTGGTGTGCAACGCAGACGTGTACCTGCCGGAGCCCAAGTGCCTGACAGGTAGCGCTTCCGCTCCGCAGCAAGCACCGCGAGCACCTGCTCACAGCCGCCAGCGTATTCACTGCCTTCCTGCCGGCATTCGTCCGCAAACCTCCCGCTTGGCTCATGCCCGGATCCTCCTTGCACTCCCATGTTCGCCTGCCCCTACGCAGTCACGGACATCGATACCAACCAAGTCATCCCACCCGCCGACCCAGACTTCCCAGAGCCGCTCAACAGCGTGAACGTGACGGTGCTGGCCACGCCCAACGCGCGCAGCGAAGGCACGCCCAAGCCAGCCTGTGGCTCCGCTGTGTGCTGGCACTGGCGGCGGGCCTCTGGCTGCCTGCTCAGGGTGGCATCCAGTGCGCACGTGTTCTTCAGCTGCTGATCTCGACTCACTTTGCCATTCCACCCCGATTTTCATCACGTCTGCCTGCCACCCTTCCTCCTGCAGAGCTGCTGGTGGAGCTGCCCCTGGCCTATTACGTGCCTCCCGTCAGCCGTCGGCCGGGAGAGCTGGCTGTGCAGCTGGATTTTGAGCAGACCAGGTGAGAGGGAGGTGGTGGCAGGCAGCCGGAGCTGGCGGCTTGCAGCACGGGGCGTGGCTGGAGAGGAGCAGCGGGCAGCAGGGGGCAGGGATATGCGAGCGGCGTCCACTGCCGAGCATCCCTTCAAACTCTCCTGGCTCCCCGTATCTGCTGCAGGATGATCTTTACTGACGGCCTGTGCAGCCTGCGGCTACGCAAGCGGTGCGAGTGGCAGGGCGCGATTTACGAGTCAGTCACTGCCGTGCCGCCCATCCCTCTGCTGTCAGGTGCGGGCCTTGGGGCACAGGCGCTGCAGCGTGGGGGTGACTGAGCCCTGGGGTTTCTCCGGGCAAGGATCCCACCTCAGTGGCCGGAAGCAGACTGTGTGGGCCGGGCGCGAAGGCACGCCCATGCCGCACGCGTGACCCCACCTGTGCCTGCCCCTGCCTGCACCACGCAGTGCTGAGCGCCAACGAGACGGAGGATGCGGCGGAGCTGGTGGAGGAGGTGTTGGGCGCCGACGGGGAGGGGGTGGGGCAGGCGCTGCGCGACGCGGCACAAGTGCTGACTGGGCGCCGCCTGCAGTCGGCGGGCCGAGGGCTGAGGCAGGAGCTGCTCTTCCGTGGAGGGGCGGGGATCGACCCTCTGGCAGCAGGCAGCGGCAGGGTGGCCGACCTCAGCGCAGGCGGGTGCCCTGCTGGCGTGCCGCTGCTGGCTGCATCGCCTGTTGGGGGCCTTGCATGTCGTGGCGTCAGCGTCGACGGCAGGCTGGTGTGTTGCCTGCACGCTGGCATGCCGCCATTGGCGTTGCCTGTACCTTCAACTGACGTCGCCCCATTCCCTGCGCAGATTCCGGGAAGGAGCTGAGCCTGGAGGCCACCTTTGCCGCGCCAGGTGCCTTGCCGCCCCCTTCGTGCATGCCAGGCGTGCCTGCCTCTGGGCTGCGTCCCTGCCTGCTGGCCCTCCCGCAGCTGGCCGCCACCGTGCGCCTGCTCTTATGCAGCTGCACTGGTGGTGCTGCTGTGCTGCGCTGTGTGCAGACCTCTTCCAGTTGGGCGGTGAGGGCGAAGGCGCCCGCATGCTCATCACCACCATCGGTGGCGAGCTGCCAGAGCCGCAGGTGGACGAAGGTGAGGCGCCAGGTTGGGCTGCATCTGGGGCTTCTCCGGTGCTGGTTCGCCCTCACCTCCTTCCGCGCTGGCCTGTGCCTTGTTTGTGACACGACTTGTGGCAGTTACTGGTGCCCACATCGTGCTGCCCCCCCCTGCCCTTCCACGCTCTTTGAAGGCGCGCTGCCGCCGCTGACGGATGTGCTGAGCGTAGAGGGTCTGCAGGCGGACCTGCTGTTTGAGGACTACTTCATCAGGTGGGGGGGCAGGCCCTGATTGCTGCATAGTGGTCAGAAAAGACATTGGCTTGCCGCTAACCCCCCTTCAGCTGCATCGTGTTGCTGACCGCGGCGCCGTCGCCCCTCCCCCGCGCCCCGCAGCTGGATCCCCAGCAACTCGACCGCGGGGGAGGTGTGCCAGATGACCAATGCCGGCGACCTGCCAGAGTCCTTCCTGCTGGTGAGCGCTGGCAGCTGGCTTCCCCGCCGCCCACCACCACGCATGCGCAGCTACCTTCCTGCCCTTGTGCAGCTGGCAGCTCTCTTCTGCGGTCCCACGCTGACTGACTTCTGCTAGCACCCGCCCTGCCCTGTACTTGCCCTGGCTCCAGGGCAATTTTGACGACCTGGTGGGCTATGAGGAGGACTGCACCCCGGCCTCCCTGCCAGAGGTCAGCGGGGTGGAGGTGCCGCTGTTTGCTTAGCGGCCCTCCCTGGCAAGGTGCCAGGCGCTGTTTGGCTACTGGCGGCGACTGGCGCAGCTGATGGCCTGGCCCGACCACACAAGAAGAAGAAGGCATCCCACCCCTGATCCTGTCCATCATCTGTCCCCGAGTCGAAACCCATCCCATCCATGGGCCTGTTCTTGGTTCATTTAAGACGCAACGCCGCCTGATCTGTCTCTGATTGCTCCCCTTGAGCGCCCTGCCCACTGTGGCAAGGCTGCCAGCCTTTTGTTTGTCCGTTTCAGTGCCGGGCTTTCATTGCACATCTCCTCCGCCCCCAACTATCGCTTTAATTTTCGCAACCGACTGGAACTGCCACTGGATCCCGTTGTTTGACTATTTTGCCGTTGCAAGCCACCCAGCGTGACGTTGTGCTTCGCCATGGCGCGCCGGCTGCCGTCCTCTGTCCAGCGCTCTCCTGGACGGCCGTACACGTCGCGGATGGCCATATACCGCGATTACACTGGCCAAACGGTGATGCAGGGCTCTCTGGCGCGATTGCACAGAATTCAACGCCACGCTGGCAGGTGCCCCCAGCCCCCTCCCTCTTCAACAGATTCCTCCCCGGACCCACGTACACGTAGCTAAATCCATGGTCAGAGCATGCGGAGAGGTTTAGCGCTGAGGCTGCTGGCGGCCCTCTGGCTGCTAGCGCTTCCAGGTGGGGAGGGGCACCTGGTTGCGATGTGCACTTCTTCATGGTCGCATGGCCGGTTGCCGCTAGGCGGGGGCACACCATGTCGAACATGGCGGAGTCCCCTCCGGCACTGCGGCGCTGCCCCAGCTGACGGGCTGGGTGGCCTGCAAATGAGGTGGACCTGCCGCCCGTTCAGCGTGCCGAGGGTGTCGCACATGGGGCCGGCAGGCTGGCACGGCTGCCGCTGCCGCCGCTTTGCAGTGCCCCCCGCGCCATCTCGCCTCCCTTTCTGGCTACCTGCAGCCGCTGGCCTGCGCAGCTGATCCCATCGTTTGTGCTCCACCGCTTGCAGGCATCTGGTCCCAGGATCTGGTGCAGGCAGCCAACCAGCAGCGCCCAGGCAAAGCTGCTGCAGCAGCAGCAGGAGAGGCAGCAGCAGCGGCAGCAAAGGAAGCGGCGGCAGCAGGAGAGGCCGCAGCAGCCGCAGCAGCAGCAGCGGGAAAAGCAGCAGCAGCAGCCAGAGTAGGCCCTGCACAGGAAGCAACACAGCAGGCTGCATTGCCTCAGAATGCCGGTGCCAAAGCAGCTCAAGATGATGAAGTGCAGGCAGCGGCGGTGCGTGATGTGCCCGGTGCCTGCCAGGAGCATGCTGCCGCCAATTGCCTTGCCTCGGCCATCCACCATGCGCCCGCCAGAGCTGTCTCCGGCATGGCTGTATGCACCACAGCTGTGCCAGCTCGCTGCTGCGCTGTTGGTGTGGTGCCGGTTGACAGCCTGTCGGGGGGCATATGCTGTGCCCTGCTGCCGCCCGGGAGGTATCCATGGCCCTCACTTGGCTTACGGCTGCTCACCCCTGCGCCCATGTGCTGCTGCAGCTGCAAGGCGTGAAAATAAATGTGGCCTTCAAGGTCCAAGGTGCGCGGACTGGGCTCAGTTCCTCTGGTTTTTCATGGCACCTTGTTGGCCGCTCTTAGGCTGCGCAGCCGGCACCACCTGCTGGCACCAGCACACCGCGCGCAGCTTCCCTTGCCATCAAGTGCCCTTTGTCTCAGCGGCTGTGGCAGCCACCCGCATCCGAGAGTGCTTCCCTGCGCTGCAGGCGGCGCCTCGTTTGCCAACAACCTGTCTGCGCCTGGCATCGCCTTCCGCGGGGCGGTGCGGGTGTGGGTGGCGCAGGTGTCGGAGAACGGCATCCTGCTCAGCCAAGTCCTGTGAGCAACTTTCACACCCGTCCTGGCTAGGCTCGCCTGCCCCCCATGTGCTGTGTGCGCCCCAGCGCTGCGTTTCCCTGTGCACAGCGCCCCATCCCGGTGCCTCTGCCTCTTGCCCCCCTGCGGTGGCTCGGTGGCGCCAGCAGGCCGCTTGAACGCCGGTATGACGTGCCGTGGCCGCCATGGTTTGCAGGTGGGGCGTGGCGGCTGCCCTCAACCCAGCGCCTGCTGGCTGCGACGGCAAGGGCGGCATCTGGACGACAGCCTCCCTGCGGGTGCTGACGCAGAAGGCGGTCGCGGTGGGTGGCGGCAGCGGGCAACTGGCCTGGCTGCTGCAAGAGGCGCTACTGTTGCTGGGGGTGCCGGCTGCTGTGTCGTGCTGCGCTGAGGCGGCGGCATCGGAGGCAGCCAGCCGAACGCTTGCTCTTAGTGTGATCTGCCTGCTGTGCAGGTAAACGCCAGTATGACAGCAGCGCTGCAGCCCGGCGGCGGCGCGGTTTTGAAGGTACAGGGCCGCGCCCAGCGACTGCTCCCATCCCAGCAGTCTTGCACAGCGTGTGCCGGCGCCTGCCTGGCTTGCGCCTGCGCTGCGCTGGCGCGGTTCTGCTGCAAGGGCGCTGCCTTCCTGCCCGCTTCGCTTTGCCTGAACCCATGCCACGCGCCTGTCCTGCCTGTTTCCCTCTGGCGCAGTGGGAAAACACGGTTGGGCAGCTGCCAGGCAGCGGAGGGAATGCCTGCCTGTCCATAGCCGGCACCACAACTAGCCTGCTGGCAGGTAAGGGGGGCATCCATTCATCTATCCATCCATCCGGCGGCGACGCTCTGCCGCCTACGCTGCCTGCTTGTGGCTCTCTGCCTGCTCATCCGCTTCCAGCCATGCATGGTAACGGCTGCCAGCTTGCTGCTTGTCAGCTGGTTCAATCTGTGAGGTTTTGTTGTCTGCTTGTATTTCAGGAAGCATCTCGCCTCCTCCGCCGCGCCCTAAACCGCCGCCACGACCGAGACCACCCCCCAGCCCCAAGCCGCCCCGCCCCAAGCCTCCTCGCCCCAAGCCGCCTCGCCCTAAGCCGCCTCGCCCAAAGCCGCCCAGTCCCAAGCCACCACCCCGACCCAAGCCCCCGCGCCCGCCTTCGCCTCGTCCCCCACCGGTGCCGCCTGGCGGCTTCCCCAAGTGAGAGCAGATGGCAGCTGGGCCTTCAGTCACATTCTGCGGGCCAGCAGTCGGGGGCTTCTGCCTGCCACGTTCTGCTCGCCGCCACCTGCGCTTCCTTTCCTCAACCTTGCCGCACCGCCCGCTGCCTCGCTTC